GGCTGGGGAATTCTGGGAGTTGAAGTTCACACATCTTCAAGCTGCCAAGGTTGAGAAACACAGTGTTCTAGGCTGGGGAAGCAGTGACTTGCAACTCCAGCTCTCCTTATGTCCCTGGTGAATTGGGAAGTTTGGAGAAAATCAAGTCCAGCTGAGATGATGAATGGTTGGCAAGAAATGTGAGTCCCAGGCCCTTCATTTCTGAGGAATGGCGAGCAATGGCATTTTCACAGGGTTTTAATCCCTGTTGTATAGTTAACGGTGTTCTTCCTGGTCGCAGATCCTTTTTCATGTGCAAGACACAATATTCTGAGTCGGCCATCCGTAACTAATTGTCATCCGTCTCACATCCCATTGGGAGACTCTGCGGGGTTTGCTTTTCAAAAAATCTCCAGCACAGTAGTGATCAAATATTGAATCTTGGGCTAACAAGCAAATAAATCTGTCTATTTGACAGATTTATACTTAGACTTTAAAACCTTTGCCTCTTAGCTATAATCCACTGAGTTTTCTGCTTGAGGCTTCTTTAAGATCCAGCCTGATGATTAGAAATGTCCTTCTCTAAAGGGATGGGTGGAAACTCAGCCAAGATGTTCATACCTTGGACTTTAAAAAAATGTACCAAGTTGGACCGATGTCTGTTGAATTCTTTCCAAACAAAGGAAAGCATTCCACGTAGCCATAGATCCTGGTTTTACCCACTGGGCCCACATGGGCATGGACTGCCCCCACTTCTGCTTTTCGGTCTAGGGCAATGTGATTAGCAGAGGATCCGTGTTTTAGGCTATGGATCCCCACTGAACAGGTATAAAAGGTGGGTTGACATCAAGTGAAGGAAAAACAGGTGGACAAAGAATGCTGGAACCTGATTCCATCAAGACTCTCCCTGTCCCTAAAAAACTGACTCCCCGACATTGTTCTCCCCACTGGACTCCCAAGTCTGGATGTGCCCCTCACCCCCGCAGCAGCCACGGCCCAGCATCTGCTCTTCGGCCATGGCATCTCTGCTTTAAGCCACCACCCTTTTATACCTGCTCGGGCCTCACCACGGTACCCCCAAAGCTTCATTTCCAGCATCCAAACTCTTGTAGAGATGGTGTTGACATTGTAAGTCTCCTGTTTCAGTGTTTGTGGCCAAATGTCTCTTGTCTTCTTGTTTTTCCCTTGGTGCCCCTCTTTGTTTTCTTCCCCATCTGCTTCTAGTGGAAACAGTCCAGAACCACCCTGCCCTCCTCGTTGAAAGCAACCTTCTGGTTGCTCTTCAGAACCAGGACACCTTCATGGAAACCAGTATCCCCGTTCCCACCTTGAACTGGCAAGACGTTTCCAATAAAAATTCTGGATTTGCTGAGTGTGTGTGATCTGAACCTTCCCCATTTGGTCTTGTGTTGTTCTTGGAGTGGTGGCTAATGCTTGAACATCACATCCTGAAAGCTTTTCCAGTCTTCTTAGTGGACAGACCTCACAGAACGTTCCAGCTGTGCTGGAGGAAGCAGAATAAATGGATGAAAGAGGGAGGGGAGGAGAAGGTGGCATCCCAGTGGCTGATGTTTATCCCCAGCAAGGTCGCAAACAGGATTCTTTCATCCGCTCTTTCTCTTTCGTCTTAGGAAAGAGTGCTTGAAGAAGGGCTTAATCTCAGTTTAGTTTGGTCATTGACCAACGTAAAATAACCTTAGATGATGACAATTGAGAACCATCCCTACTGTCTAGCTTCTAGGCTGTGAAGAAATACCCCAGCTCGAGAATGACTAACCTACCTTCAAATCGCAGCATCAGTAAAATATTTGGAATATTACGAGCATCATATAACACCGTATAAAAGAATGCAATATAAAGGTTAATATAGAAATCGATGGGAGGGAAACAGTTAAAAATCAGAACGCCGAACAGAAGAAGTATAAAATCCCTGTATCGCTAAAGTCTATCTGTGAAATTATAATTAAGAATATGAAAGCTCGGTAAGCTGTAATATAGAGCAGTATAAAATAGGGTGGTATAAATGTTATGGTAAGGCTAATCAATAGTCATACAGATTTAAGGGTACGGGAAGCAGAGCTCTGTATGGCCCAGAGTGTTAACTGATCCCTAAGGAATTCCTCTTTCTCCTTCCTTCTTCTACCTCTCTATTTTTTGTTTTTTGACAAGCAATCAATCCAGCCTCCTTTGTTTCTCTTTTCCACTAAGCCAGCCTGCGTCTGCAGGCATTCAAGGGTCGGCCGGATCCCGGCTGATGTTCAGCAGCCCGGCTGAACTGAGAATTTTAAATCCCCAGACCTGCTGATAGAACAGGAGGAGGGTGCAGATAGAAACATCTTTCTCTGGAAAATGAATCACCTAAATGTCAAGTCACTCCTGGCGATAGATAGATACTGTAGATAGAGAGAGAGAGAGAGAGAGAGATGATAGATAGATAGATAGATAGATAGATAGATAGATAGATAGATAGATAGATGATAGATAGATAGATTTATTTCCCTTGACGGTGGATTCTTTTTCCTTGGCCCCACGGAAAGCAGCCTGTCGTTGCGCTCTGTCTTTGCACCCACTTTTCCGTCCACTAAAGTGGATTGAAGCAGCAGTGTGCAAACATGAGTTTCAAAAGGGTCGTTCGAGTCGCCTTTTCCAAAGCTCTGTTCGATCTTTGTTTTTTTTTCATTTCCAATTTCTTCTCCAGGTTCAGCTCAATGCATTAGGAGTTGCCTTTGGGTGTTTCCTGCTGTGTGAAATATATGCTGTAGAGAATTTGTAAGCACTTGGGCAGGATGGAGAAACGTCTGTTCCCCCCAGAAGAAACTCTTCGTTTTGCTGGGGATGCAGGCCCCCCCATAAATATAAATACTTTACAGTCATCATCTAAAGATGAACGTTTCCCATGTTGTTTTGGTCTGGGGCAACAATTTTTCCCAAGCAGAGCCCCTCCAAATATGCTGAGCCCCCATCCCCAGGGACCAGAACTATTGGCCATGCTGGCTGAGGGTGATGGTGGTTGTAGCCCAACACAACTGGAAGGTGCCTGGCTTCAGGGAAAAGCTGCAGTAACGTCTGCTTAAAAGTAAATTTTGGGTAGTAACTCCATGGAATTTAACTCAGGTTAATGTTGGTGGGTATAGAACTACAGAACATGCAGAATTAGCAGGAACCATCTGCCACCTTCTCTGGTGCTGCAAGCATGATAAGGTTGTGCTCCTTGTTTATTTTGGTTTGTTGGACGTGGCCAAGAAAGGCCATGCTTGCATTTACCCTGGCAGGGGCTGCCTCCAAGCATACCAAGCATTTGAGAAAGGCCGGACTTTAGGAAATGTCTTGCTCCTTTGGGAAAGCTTTCACGAGCCCCCCGTCCCGCTCATGGCTCCTCTCCCCAAACCCAACGGTTTTCCTGTGCCGCTTTCCTGCATGGCGTATCCGTGAGCTTGTGGATGGCTTGTTTTGAGTTTCAGGAGTGGGTTAACCTGCTTCCCCCCCAGCTACCAGCAAGAGGCTTAGGAAGAAACAGAAATGCTTCTCTTCCATTCAGGCATCGTCTCGGGTGGCAATGAGAGTCCTGTGGAACCAAATCACAAAGCCCCTCTAGAGTATTTGTCCCCAACTCAGATCCCCAAAATTTCCAGCTACCACACCATAGATTGGTTTATTATTTCATGCATTTATGGACCAGCTTTTTTTCGGAGTGCTGTAGGGACATACATAGGGGAGCCCCTTTATTTGATCCCTGAAAACAACCCTTTGAGCTCCCTCGTCAGGGAAGTTGGACTAAGCAAGGGGAGCACCCACCGAGTTCTGTGGTCACTTGAACCTGGTCCCACGTCCACCACCTTCACCCCTGCACCACCCTCGTAAACAGGGGATAATCCTCTTAACAGCATTCAGTTGATTTGATTTAAATCCCATCTGTCTTTTGCTCTGGCCCCTTCAACTCCCTGGCCTGGCCGATCTATTTGGGAGGGGAAGAGGTTGCCTTCCAAGGCTACGGGTGGTCTGCAAAAGGTTGCCTACACCTGTCCTCAGTGAATGCTGCCCCAGCACTTTCAAGCCTTTCGACCATCCTTTCTGCATCTTAACGGAGAAACGTCACAAAGGATTTGGGATGTACTGTGAATTATCCTCCTGGGCCTTTCGCTTTCCAAATTCTCTGTGGCTAAACTTGCAAGACATCTGTCTTGGACATTTGTCCATCCCCACTGGTTTCCTCATCAGAGAACTGCAAGAGCCACGTACGCTCAACCCCTAAATTTCTCAAGACATCCACTGGGGGAAAAAAATCTCTGCTCTCCACAAGCTGTGCCTGTTGGTGTGAATCCCAGTGGCATTCTTGCACCTTTCTGTTTCCTTCTAAGGAAGGTTTGTTCGGTTTCTGTTCCGTGGTCTCTTCACTGGGGCGATGGCTGTGGAGATCCTGTTTTGACGCTTTTGCCGTTGTCCACCTAATTTTTCCCATTGGTGCTTCCCTACAAACGCTTCTTCTGTTGAGTTGGTTTTGAGAGCTTTGACTCGATGCCCGCTGCAGTGGCATCCAGGCTTCCCCCCCCCCTTTTTTTTTGTACGCGTGCCTGCATTTTTAAAAAATGTTATTTATTTATTTATTTGTGTGTTTATTTATGTATGGCATCCTGGTTGTCTTAGTGTGTTTGTTGTTTGGTTTAATATTCTTGATTTCCCTGTTTCGTCTCTGTAGCAGATGTTGTTCAGTCTCATGGTGGCGTCTTCGTGGAAAACGCGTCCCCGTCTGCTCCCGTTTCAGGCCCCCAGTTCAGGGGCTTCCGGAGAGCAAGCGAAGTGAGCATTGTCAGCCAAGTGTCGGGAATGGCAGACAGTTACACTGCTTCCAACATAGCTAACAGTAAGTGTTCTTCCCATGGAAACAAGCCTGCCCCTTGCTTAGTTCCCCCAACCGCCTGTGAAGATTAGCTGATGCGCTCTGCTGCTTCTCTGGGCTCATAGCATGGTGTTCTCTGAGCCGGGGAATAAACGTGGAGCTTTTCAAAACGTTGCAGAAGAAGGAACAGCGATGAGCAGAATGAATGCCGTGCCCCTTAGAGCGGCCCTCCCATCGAGAAAGCGAAATCCTTACAGATTCAGAGTCTGTATTGCAGTGAGTAAGAAGTGAGTTACAGAAACTGGATATAGATAACTCAGCTCTCATTGATCAGAGAGAACAACGGAGGGGCCTCCCTATTCCCCTTGATCTTCTTTCTAACTGAGTCATGGCTGAGTGGGGAAGGTGCAGATCGCTTTTTTGATACTGCAAAAAATCCACCCATCCTTGTCCTGCGATATTTTGAAGATGTCCATTTTTGTTCCCAGGCTCAGGGAATGTCATCGCAACTCATTGGCCCCATTGACATTCAGAGTTTTTCACCTCCAGTTTCTTACCCTCCCATAACTCCCGGGACACAAAGGGAGCAAGGGTGCAATCCTTTTTAGGAAGTCATCGCTTTCGAAAGTTGCTTCCATTTTCAACTTCCTGCCTGATATGAACCATATCAGCTAAATACCAGACTTCTAGATCCCACATTTCAGACTCTGAAACAAACATTGTTGAATTTTATATCGTTCAATGTGTTATTGAATGCATTTTATATCCCCAGTGCATTATGAGAGGTCAAAATCTAAGGTGCATTTTTGCATGGTTCTCTGTGTGTTTTAACAAGTGTGTGTGTTTTACTTTTGTGTTCTCTCTTTGAAAATGTGATTCCTTTTAGAGAAAAAACATCTCAACCACTCCAGAGGGTTTAGCCTTCTGGCTCTGCTAGCACTCCCCCACAAATCCCCCATTCAGACCTCCCCCCAAAGGACTAGGGGGCCCAAGCCTGAAAGATCCCAGAATCCTTTGGGAAGAAGGTTTGAGAGCTCCCTCCACGGAGAAGTGGATACCGTTCATCTGATTCCAGACTTTGACGTCAACAAAGGTATTCTGGAGAGCGACGAGAACGGGATCAAAACGCAGCACTTGCTTATCTCTTCTTTCGCTGTCTCCAGAACCCAAAAGTCTTCTTCACAGGGGGCATTTCTCAAATCTTGCTCTCTACTTAACAAAGCACTCTTTTTACACTCACTCTGGAGATTAACCTACATGCTACTCACAGCCTGTCAAAGAGTCAAGTTCGTTCCGATTAATTTGACGTTCTATGCGGCACGTGAAATCTTATTGCTGTTTCTTGGGAAGAAAAGGCTTATTCTTGGCTGCCCTGCTTGGAGAATTTCCTAAATATTTTGTGAAAAAGAAAAAAGAAAGTTAAGGTCACTCCTGCAGCTCAGAAATCTTTTTGCGGAGTTTGGAGTGGGCTTTGACTCTCCCGCTGTGCTTTTCCAACAATCAATTTAACATTAAGAGCCGCGCCAAATGTGGTCCTACTGCGTATTTGATTGGCTTCATTCATTATCATCTCAGCTGTGGATTTTTGCTGGAATTAAGAGCCGGATTAAGAGAAAGAATTGATGAAATCCAGCAAAGTCACTGGGGTTGACCATCCAAAGCTTTCCTGGACATAAAATGAATAGGAATTCTCCTTATGGGCGAGTCTTTGACCCTTTACATTTAAGTTTCCAAGAATGATACGCAGAACAGCAGTTGGGGGCTTTCTTATCCAGACCAGCCTTTCTATCCTTTCCTTTGATACTCAAATTTTGGATGCTCTGTCTTAGGTTCATAAACAGGTTCATAAAGGTATGTTTTCAGAAATCAAGTAGCAAGGAATGCTAAGCTGTGAAGGTTGCTTTCGGATCCCTGACTATGACGGTTCCCCCAGGGTGGTGGGATAGCTGGATCTTCCATGATCCAAGAAGAGCCATGGCCAAACATTTCCTAGCACTGACATGGCCAGACCAGGGGCGTTTTCTGATCCTTTTTCTGGATATGCCACGGCCTTGGGAATTGAAGCAGGTGGAAAGATGTGGGACTTTGTAGAAACCAAACGTATTTGTGGGGATCTCTTTTTGCTCTCAGTTGCTGCGAAATGGTGGGGGACCAAAAGGATCGATTATGCTCTCTACTGCCCTGATGCATTGACTGCCTTCCCCACAGTCGCCTTACCACACCTTTTTCACGCAAGTTACTGGGAATCCACGGACGTGGTCTCCTTCCTCCTCAGACAGGTCAGTTGCCTCTTGCCAATGTCCAGATCCTTTCTTTAAAAAGAAAGTAAGATTCCATGAAAGCACCTCTTGTTTTTCCCCGCCATGAAGGACAGAAATGTAACTAACGCAATCAATGGGCGAGTGTTTGAGCAGAACCGGCTCCCTCAAGCAGGGAGAAGTTTGAGCGAGATGATGTGGCGCTCGGTTTGTAAGAAATGCCATGTGCCAGACGGTGGAGGAAGGTGACTTCATGCTGGGGGTGAAGAATTCCTGCTGCTGTTGAGAATGTTTGATGCCTGATTTTGTAGGCTCAGAAGGGACCCTCCCTCACTTCTCAGACTGTGAAGGTGGGGGGGAGAGAATTTACTTTCAGAATATACTTTCACGCTTGCAAGATTGATTACCAGGTAGACCAGACAGGAAACACAATCAGGTGAGCTAAATCTACTTTATTGTAAAGCTGCATTAACAGAACCTTGCAGGTCTGAAAATACAGTTCTCCTCCCCACATCTCCTTTACAGCCTGAGAAACTAGGGAGGGTCCCTTCTGAGCCTCTTTCTCCACCCATTATGCAGCTGTGGGCTATGCCCTCTCTTATCTGACCATTCCCTTGGCAGCATCTCTTCACCCCATCTCTCAAGGTCTTCCCCTCATACCATTACACCAGCCAACCAAGCGCACATAACATATGACAACAATCATGTCAAACATGTCTTAAAAAGTGGTTTGTTTGTACTGGGTGCAAATGCCTTCCATCCCCACTGTGCCATTTTACTTTCACCCTCTTCATGTCCATCTCTGTAGGATCCTCGAGCTCCCCGAAGGGAAGATCTCACCCCTCTTTTTCTGTAAAATAAGCCGAATGGTCTCTCCGTTGGAAAAATGGAAGGGTATAACATTGGGCCTTTAAAAGAAGTTAGAAACTCAGACCTTGGGGCTCCTTGGTTCAGACAGCAGTCTTACCGAACTAGGATGGAAAGACCTTGGCACTTTCCTGGGCAGTTGCCCGCCCTACCAGCCGACAAACCATTGCCCATCTTGGGTTTAGTGTGGGGCATGAACTCCTTGGCCATTTGTAAACCAGAGTTGATGTCTTTGTGGATCATGCAAATCTGGCCCATTCATTAGACCAGTGTTTCCCAACCTTGGCAACTTTAAGACGAGTGGACTTCAACTCCCAGAATTCCCCAGCCAGCATGGGAATTCCCATGGCTGGCTGGGGAATTCTAGGAGTTGAAGTCCACTCGTCTTAAAGTTGCCAAGGTTGAGAAACACTGCATTACACAATGACATCACAGCATGGGCAAACCCAGCTTCATTTTGATCGGGGCTTCTTCTTCCAGGTGATACGGCACGAGAACGCCAGTATTCTAGAAGTGGACGGGAAAGAAGTCTCGGTCTTCACGCCTTCCAAACCAAGGGAGAAATGGCTTCGCAAACGGACCCACGTCAAGCTAAGGGTGGGTGGCTTTCGTCCAGCTGCCTTTTGCTATGAATGCAGGCCCCCAAATGGGGGGCAGAGTGGGATGAAACACCCCAAAATCATAACGTGGGAAGAACCAGGGCAACGGGCGGTACTGTCGAATCCCCTGGAAGTAATAAGAATAGTGCGCAATGGTGTGCCTTTTTAGAAACTACGGGTCCAATTAAATGCCCCTTTTGTGAGATTACTTTGATCTGGATTTCCCCACTGAGCAAGGAGACGATGACGATGATGATGATCTATTAAATTTATATCCTGCCTGATTTCCAGCAACACCAAGTTAAGACTCGGCCCTAAATGATTCCTTCCAATTCTGGGGTACGATGAAAACCTGAGGAAAAGCAGCCTGCAGAGTCAAGCGATAAAGCCCAGATGATAAATCTTGAATCCCACAAATAGTTATTTTTCCGTAGATAAAGGAAAACGAGAATACGGCAAAAGCTGGTATTATGCAGTCAAAATGTTTACAAAGCAAGCAGGATGGTTTTAATGTTTTTTGTTTTTTGTTTTTTTAAACGTTACTTTGAACCGAACGAAAGCTTTACAAAATCAAAAGATAAGCTTAAGGTTTCTATTCATTTACTTATTTATTTGATTTTTGTTTCATGCAATTTATTTCATCCTGTTTGTTTCATCCTATTTCTTTACTTCGTTCTAATTATTTTGTTCGATTTCTTTACTTCATTCAAATTATTTTATTCAGTTTCTAATTATTTTATTCCATTTACTTTTTACTTTATTTTATTTTATTCCATTTACACGGCTACCCATAAGCGACTCTGGGCGAACACCAGGGAAAGCATCGGTATGATTGTGTGAAATGAAAATTTTAAAAATTCTCTTTCCCCAGAAGGGAAAAATGATTAGACCAGTGAGTTAACTGTGGCCTGGGCCTGCAGTAAAAAATAATGGCCAGAGATTTTATAGCTTTTGTTCACTTCTGCCACCGTTTTGATTGCCAGCGAACACCTATTCTGACAGTCGAGGGAAGCAGTGTGATCATGGATCATGGATAAATTTTAAAAATTTATATCCGAAACTGTTTGGAAACGATGAACAGGATCAAAAGGATGGAGATGGGCAGAAGTCCAACCGGGCAGTGCTGCAGCATCCGTCCTCCGTCCAGCATTTGTCAGTGCCATGAAGAGAGAAGGGGGCCGACAGCGACCCCGAGAGTTGAATTAAAAAGTAAATTTAGATCAATGCATCCACTCAGCCAGGCAGGAGAAAGCTCCCTGCTTCAGCTAAGTAAGGCTCCGTGCATAAAAATGATTAATTACCGTGCAGACTCATTGATCACGCTGGGTCAACAAACAAACAAGATCCATCAAGCGTTGCGTACGCGTGGTAGACGCTGAAATTATAAAATCAAAAATGAATTACAAAATCATGCATCCCCCAGCCCCATCCTTCGGCTCCCAGCTGGCCTCCCAAATCCGACGTTTCCCTCTCCTTTTCTTTGGCAGAACGTCACAGCCAACCACCGAATCAATGACGCCGTGGCCAACGAGGAAGGGCCCCAGATGTTGAACGGGAGGTTCGTGTACGGCCTGTTAGACATGGTCACGCTCACAGGGGAGAAGGTGCGTTGCCGCGAAGCCTGGCAGGTGCTCCGTGGCCAATTTCTACCATAATTCACGTCCAAGCTGGAGTTGCTCACCTTGCAGTTGCATTCACAGAATCCTAGAGCAAAAGGGCTGGGAGGGGTCGTAAAGATCGTCCCGTCCATCTGCCTCGGGTGTCCCCTGCAGATGGCCATCCGACCTCTGTTCACACATTCTCTTCCCTTCCCTCTCAAGGCGTCTGTTCCGTGGTGGAAGGCCTCTGAGGACTTTTCCTTGACGCCTAGCCAATAATTCAGCCCTAGCAAAGCCTCTAGAGATCTCGATCTACCAAAATGGAAGTTAGAGCTAAGGAGCTAGTCCACATTAAGCAAGATTAATGAGCAGCCTTTTGCCAGATTAACCAAAAAGAAAGCGCAAGGAGTTCTGTTGCATGGGGGGCTGTGGGTGTTTTCTCCCCCTCCCCAATGATGCCATGCAGAGGATTCACCTAAGAAAAAAAAAATTAGTCAACACGACGTTGGGTTTTTGAATCCATCTGACCCCAGGCCTAGTCCGGCAGAGCCGCCCTGCTGATTCCAGATTTCTTCTCCGGTCTTGCTTTGCCCCTCAGGTGGACATTCACATCATGACCCAGCCCCCCTCAGGGGAATGGGTTTACTTCGACACGGAGATCACCAACAGCAGCGGTCGGGTTTCTTACATGATTCCCGAGAAGAGGCGGCTGGGGATCGGGGTGTACCCTGTCAAAATGGTGGTGAGGTAAGTTCTCTTGCAGGAACGTTTGCTGCAGGTCCAGCTGTTAGGCCATAGGAAAAAAATGGGCATGGGCTGAACATCACAGATGTGGCGACTGAGGCACTGTGGATTAGCTATCAGCATCTCCAGCATTAATCCGAGGCTGAGAGCGTTTGCTCGTCTTTTGGGTTTCTATCCTGTTTTTCCCCCTCTAAAAGGCAGATGCTCAGGACAACTTATAAGAAAAGAAACGATCAGTCTCTAACCCCACACTGAGCTGCCCATAAAGCTAAAGCCACACATAGCTTCTGAAGCCTGCCTGGTCGTCTTGGACCCCTCCTGACCAGCGTTGTTGAAAAACAGCAGGCATGCCGTTGACCCTAAATTGGAAGGACGAAACACATCAAAACAGTAGCACGAGTCCTCGAATAGTCGTAATGGAGTTTAACCTCCCCAAGGAGCCTTGGAAAAAAAAGAGGCACCGCTTTGAGCATTGCCCCGCCCACCACAATCTCAGCCCCCCCTCAAAACCTGATCAGGCCCCCCCAAAGTTTGCCTGCTCTTCTTCTGCGGACTCCAAAACCTCTCTGCTCCATTCTCTTTAGGGGTGACCACACATATGCAGACAGCTACATCACCGTTTTACCCCGGGGGACCGAATTCGTGGTCTTCAGTATTGACGGCTCCTTCGCAGCCAGCGTCTCCATCATGGGCAGCGACCCCAAAGTCAGGGCCGGAGCCGTCGATGTCGTACGGTAGGAGGGCGTAGCGGTGGGGAGAGTCAGTGCGCCCGGAAGTCGGGGTGAAGAACAGGGGCATTTATTTCCATTTGAAAAAGAGAGCCCCTTCTCCATGTTGGCTTTCTTGCTGTTTCCCCACTCATTTGTCTTCCGCGTCTTTCCCTCCTCAGGCACTGGCAAGACCTCGGCTACCTCATTATCTACGTCACGGGCCGGCCCGACATGCAGAAGCAACGGGTGGTCGCCTGGTTAGCACAGCACAACTTCCCCCATGGGATTGTCTCCTTCTGCGACGGGCTGGTGCACGACCCCTTGCGACACAAAGCCAACTTCCTGAAATCTCTAGTCACGGACGTAAGCAGCGTTCTCAGTGGGTTAAAGCAGTAGCGGCCAGGCTGGGCTGAGCCCTGTTAAACAGGCCCTCGAGAATCCAAGACCTTCTGATCAGAAATTGTATTGCGGGAAAGCTAAGAAGCCATTATGAAAAATACTCCAGGCACTGCTGAGTATCAAACGCGAGCTGTGTTTATAATGAAATCAAGATTCACATTCTTGCACCTCTTTCTCCTGTCCCCTTTGCACGATGGGTTGGATGGGCCTCTGTTTTGGGTGGGAGGTCTGGTTTCCATCTGTCTCTTCTTTCCAAACTGTCCAAGGCTTGGCATGGGAGCCCCTGTTCAGCCATGTCTGCGGGCAGCTATTTAGGGGTGGCTTCTGTATGGGTGGGCACGTGTTTAGGGCTGTTCTGATTGGGAGCTCGGCCACTTGGCAAGAAAAGGGCAATGAGAAAGCAGTTATGCTCAGGCTGATCCATTTGTGGTCATTTCTGCAGGCATTTAATTGGCTATTGATTTGTATTGGAGGTGGGGAGCACGTAGCTCTCCAGATATCACTCAGCTGCAGTTCACAACCATCATGTTCAACCATGTAGGATGCTGAGAGTAGTCATTCAGGGAGATGGGAGGGAGGAGGCCAGAAACTCCCTACTCTTCGATTCTTACACATTTAACCCACCTAATAATGAATGTTCCCAGCATGGACAGAAATTCCTTAGATGTACCACCTGGCTCTAGTGTCCACACTAGGGTTAGGCTGCATTCTGGTCTTATCTCAGCTGATTGATTTTTTCTTCTCACCCTTGGGTAGCTGGACATGAAGATCCATGCAGCCTATGGATCCACCAAGGATGTCTCAGTCTACACCTCCATCAACCTGTCCCCTCCACAGATCTACATTGTCGGGCGGCCCACCAAAAAGTTACAAAGCCAATGCCAAGTAAGATCCAATGCCAAGTTAAGATCCTAGGAGAAGGCTGTAATCTGTCCAGCCCACTGTCCACTGTTTATAAATGCTTCTTATAGAAGAAAGGGGTAAGGATTGCTAGTATCAGGGGCAGAAGTAGCAAACCCCCCTTAGCTCTGTTTGCCTGAGGACCTTTCGGAAAGATGGGGAGACTTTCAGGAGATCAGGTTTAGCTTTTGAACCCAAGCTTGAGCAATGGAGCAGGGTGGTCTGGAATGTCCATATTTTGTGAGCTGACCAGACGTGCACATTCAGATGTTTTAGCCAGGATGCAGAACCAGGCGAGGTGGTTTTCTTCCAGATGCAAACTGTAATGGTCTGCAGGAATGACTTTGGGAGACAGGAGGAAGAGCTGCAGACCGGACAACCAGCATGTAAAAGATGTCTCAGCCCACAGAAGGAGGGAAGGTGTAGGAAGCGTTTCAGAAGGGATCCTCCCTAGTTTTCCGGGGAATAAAAGGAAGAGAGGGGAGAAATATCTTCAGTCCTGCAAGAATCTGTTAATGTAACCTTACAGTAAAGATAGAGTTAGTACTCCTGGTTGTGCTTCTTGTCTGGACTACCTCGAAAGGCTAACACAGACTGAAACAGAATTGTGTCCACCAGACGTGGGAATGGGGAGGAGCAGGGAAAGCCAAGACTTCAGTGACAGCAGTAGAGAGAGGCAAGGGAGGGAAAGGTTAGGAAACCCTAACCCTAACCCTAGCTTCCACAATGCGCTGGTTTGTTCTGGGTTCAAAATCCATTGTATTTTCTGTTTCACACAGACCTCTAGTAAAGACCCTCCTGCTGGTTCCCCCTTGGCATCCCAAATAGGAGCTGGGCCAAGGGCACGACCCTGAGTCCTCTTGCAAAGTAAGGAGTTTCTGGGTTTTTTGTCCTGCAGTTCATCACAGAAGGATACGCGTCCCACCTAGCCCAGCTAGAGTACACGCATCGGTCCCGGCCTGCCAAGAACACCACCCGGATGGCGCTCCGAAAGGGCAGCTTCGGGCTCCCGGGGCAGACCGAATTCCTGCGCAAGAGGAACCACTTGCTGCGGACCATCTCCTCCCAGCCCGCTGCGTCCGGGAGCCAGAGTGCCAGTTACCGTCCAGAGCGAACACAGAGCCAGTCGGAAAGCGAGCGGGAACGGGAGCGGGAGCGCAGCCAGAGGAGCATGAGTCTCGCCACGGGCTGCTGGGGCCGAAGCCCGGTCTCGAGGCTCGAACCGGGGAGCTTGGGGCAGAAGTAGAGGCAGCCAAGGCGCGATGATGGCCAGCTGCACGTGCCTGCAGGGCGGAAGCAGGGGCAACGGCGAGGCGAGCGGCGTGGGGCTCGTGGGCAAATATGGTGCTACTCGTTGCCGGTGGGGCGGCAATAACCAGGCCAGGAGCAACCGAGCGGTTTTGTTTTCCTTTCCCCCACGAAACCCGCAGGCCCAGATGGTGGCAGGGGCGTTGGGCCTGCGGAGCGCAACTGGGAGGGCTGCAAACTGGAGCCGCCTTCTCCCCCGAAGATGCTGGAAGAAGGAAGACCGGAAGCTGCCTCTTCTCCAAGATCCACCGTTTTCCTGCTCCACCTTTTCTCTTATCCAGGGTTAGAGATTGTAAATATGTGCCTGTCCAGCTTCTTAGCCATCCGTCGAAGACGAGAAGAGGGAGAGCACGTGGTGCCACGCAGGAGCACCGGCAGACCAGGCGGTGGAGGGGGGCGTGCATTCACGGAGGCCGGCCCCGTGACCCAGACATGGGGAGGGGGACGCTGCCAACTGTCACTGCTTTACAACCACAATGCCACTTGCTTCATTTCTGGAATCAGGAAGGACTCGGGGCCGGCGAACAGCACGCGGAAGCGACGCCCAGACAGCTCCAGGGCTGAGTCCCGTTGACAGTGGCTACGATAAAGCTACGGGGGCAATCCGAATAGAATGGGCGGTTTATCGGGGCTGGTTCCAGTTAAAGGAATGTTTTTTAAATAGGAGTTTGGAAGCTGGCGGATTGCACTAATTCAGGAAAAAATAAATAAAGGAATGTGACAGCCACAAGATTCTGCCCCTTGGAATGGAAGGAAGCTGAAACGGATTTGGGCAATACGTCCTAATCTTCAGCCCGTACCTGCAGTATAATTTGAAGCCCCGGGGAAGTGCTATATTTGCTCAGCCTAAAACAGAAAATAAAAAGAAGCTACGTCCAAATTCTTCCCAGCCCTTTTCAGATTGTTATTATTATTATTATTACTATTATTTTCCCCCCTGCCCTTAGACTGGGGTCGTTTCTCGTTTTCCAACGTTAGTACCGGCTTTTGGCAGAGGTTGTAAACTTGCTTTCTTTTTAAACTGTAGTTATATGCAACTGTAAACCTCATCGTTTTTATGTTTTGCACTGAGAACTTTTAGAAAGAAGGTCTGTTTTCTGAAGCTACGCCTTCCGTATTTATAGTGCATGACATTAAATGTTGTTAAGCCACGGCACGTCTGTCCATTCCTACAGACACAAACATGGCAGGCTGAATGAAGGGAGAGATTCCCCCACCCGCCTGCCCACCC